GGATAAATGATATTTCTTGTTTTAATACATTTTAACCAAATAGGGGAGCTTTCCATAATGACTTAACTATTTTTTTCATTTTTACCTGTGTGTCGTACAGACTTTGACAAACAACGACAACTTAAATACAATTTTTTCCCCATCACATGGTAAATCACGCTTCTCTCTTAGTTTTCGTAAATTGCTTCGTGATCAAAGCAGGATCTCAAGAAGAACTCTAAATGTGTGCCACGTGACAGTGTGTAAATAAGTATATTTCGCTTTTCAGAGGTCTTCAAGGCCTTCTTCCTTAAAGGAAGATTGGCCGCTTTTCAATTCTTGTTTTATCAAGATAACAAATGAGCCGCCAACTTTAATGATTAATTTACAGCAATAGCGTAGTTGGTGAGGATGAAACAAATCATCRTAAGGCTACTGGTCATGAAAAACCCTAATAAAAACAATATTATTCTAAGATGGAAACCGTGGGTTTTTGCTCGCTTGCTGATATTATTGTTCTTTTGGGGGRRAAAAAAGAGAAATGAAGTGCAAAATAGAGTGAATAATTTTCCTGCGAGATTTTAGCCGCGAACTTGAAGAARCTCTGCTTCCTGTATCAAGTGCAGAAAACAAAGAATAGTGAGACGATTCAGCTTCAAATACTAACATTTAATTTAAAAACGTCTTGATCATTAATCTTTTCTAATGGTTTTTGACTTACCAAAATGAAAAGGGGTTAAATTGCCGGATTAAAATCACTTTCTTAAAGGATTATTTGCGTTCACACCCTAAGAAAAGTATACATTTATTTTAAAAATAAATTTTCCATTATTTGATTTTATTTTTGTGAAATTATATTATAATTCTTGCCGGGTAAATGTTGACATTAACTTTTTCTGACAAGAATATTAAGATGATATTAACAAATGACAAAGACTACAATGAGAAGAGCTGAACATTGAGGAAGACTGCATGAGGAGAGGACATAGAAGAAGAAGAAAAGAAAAAATAGAAAYTAGAAATAAGAAGAGCAAGAGAAAGAGGACAGGGGCGTAGTATGATCGTGATAAGTTCGACTTACGATGTTCTGAAAGCGGGTTTTGGGTCTTTCCGCCCACATTATTCCCCCCAAGGTAAAATCCAGGCTTACTCCCTTGAGAAAAAAGAAGAAGCTAGAAGACGATGATGATGTTAAAATTTGCTATAATCCTTACYTTATGCTTATAATCAAAAGATACTTATTCGAAATTTCAATGAAATTAAAATAATTTCSAGACTGAAAAATACTTATGATTTAATATTACCATTGACTACCTATACCTCGGTGTATCAGGCTTATTATACCCGCATAGATTCTCAGACAAACATGCGTAAGCATAGAAACGGCTAAGAATATTTCCACCCGTGAAAGRAAAAAAATATGCAGAAAAGATAAAAGATAATGCAGTGAAGAAGATTGTTTCGATTACTTATTGGTATATTTCAATTTTGTTTATTGCTATATTATTTTAGACGAACAGATACCAGCCAAGCCAGCAAGTCTACTGATCGCATCTAATTTTTTTATTTTTTTTTTATTTTTTATTTTTTGCACTACATAATACTCGATTATTCATTTAAAGTGCCTATAACCTTTATAGGATTATGATCAATTTTGATTTTCTGTGTGTTGGAGATGAATAAACAAAAAAAAATTTTTTCGATTGACTAAATATTCTCGGAGATATAACGCCCTAAAGTACGCAGTTTTGCCACGCCCCATCAATTTGGACGGGATCGCGAGGTCTGGTACCTAGTTGGCGTCGAATGACGTCACAACAAGAACGACTCGGCTTCCAATAAGTAAAACAAAGTAGAGCTTGGCTGTTCCTTCCAGTGTTTTTACCTGTTTTGGTCGCTTTATTTGCCTCTTTGTATCTTTGAAATTAACCAGTTGTCAAAGAAAGGCTGTAAGATGAAATTCATTGATAATGCTGATGAATACTTTGATTCAAGCGACGAGAATGAGAGTATTTACGACCTCGAGGACGAAGAATTAGACGAAGCCGTTCATGGATATCCCGAACAGGAATATTCTGATGAAGAAGTTTATGACACTTGGGTTTTATCCTGTCAAATAGTTCCATGCTAGTTTCTTTCATTGTTATAGCTGGCCCCAGTTTTATAGTTACTTAAAAATATGACTTACTGAATCAACACCCATCCTCCAAAAAAACCCTCAAGAAGTGTTTTGTAAATTTGGGTTAAAAAGTTTGACTTTATTATCATTCTATGTTGTAGATATTACGAAAGATGCGGCATGCAATAATAAAACTAGTCAATATTTTGCTTAATAAAACCTGTTACTGACACAATTTAGGTACAACAAATAAAGTATATGTTATGTTTACATGTAAATAAAGAATACTTTTCCCTACAACTAGCCACCAAATGTATTAGATTAAAATTATTGTTGTTGTTCGACTACTTCTCGCACCRGCAACTCAACTTCTTTAGGTGAAGACACGGCGGCAATTGCATCTTTTAAAACCTTTGGAAAATAGATAATTTAAACAGTTTGAAAAATAAAATCAGGGAATTAGAACTATCGAACCAGTAAACATTCCTGRAGATTTGACCAGCGACACTTTTCGGCGATTACGATCCGACAGTTTGGTTTGCTCTTCATGGTTGCAGACATAAATCCTTGGGATGGCAACAGTCCCAACCTCATCTTTAATTAACTGAGGACGATTTTACGAGATAAAATMAAATCTCTGATTATAATCCTCTGGTAGGAAGTGTATAGAAAATATGACGGAGGTAGCCGAGGGGTTGAAATTTGCTTGCTTTCTCTTCACAAAATCAATCCATCTTTGCTTCTGGGCGATTGTCGTTATGAAATGGGATCTTATGCAAGTATATACTTTTCGTAAAATCTGGGGTGTTTGAGCACCCGGCAACAACACATCTAGTCGGCATTTTCTCATATTCTGACCGAAGAACTAGTAAGAATCTTTGCTTATCAAAACATTCGTTCTTGTTGTGACGTCACCACTCAGCGAGACTCTGCTCGGTCCCAGTTTCCCTTTATCCCGTCCAAATTGATGGGGCGTGGCAAAATTGCGTACTTTAGGGCGTTATATCTCCGAGAATATTTAGTCAGTCGAAATTTTTTTTTTTTGTTTATTCATCTCCAACACACAGAAAATCAAAATTGATAATAATCCTATAAAGGTTATAGGCACTTTAAGAAATAACAGACAACCAAAACGAATCAGTTATGTAGGTGTCGTACAACGCGTACATAGTAAGTTTAAGGTACGATTATGACATATACACATATTATAGGCAAACGAACGCTTACATTAACACTCTAAAACTTGACTCTCCCAAAATACCGGCAAAAGACCTCCACTGACAGGCCACCAGACCAGAGTCCATGGTATAAGAAWGAAACTACCATCTGGGGACCCCAAAACAAAAGAATCACACCACCAGCTCCAAGAGAATCAGGCCCTATTGTGAAATATGTGCTAATAAATATAGTAATCATGATAATATGATAAAATTATAGCCATAATAATATAGTTAATGATACAATTGTGTAGATATGACCTTCTCAATACTGGCAAAAGACCCTCACCTCAAAGCCACCAGACAAGAGTAGAAATCTCCTACCTAAGCCGAGTTTCTAATACTGCTACAAAGTTTCGACTATAAAAGAATMTAATTGAGTGTTTTCCATATATATATGGTAGTTTTTACTCTCGGTAAAGAAGTCACTGTTAATTAGGCTATCTGAAYTAGAAGGCGAAGAACTGAATAATTCCAACACATTCTGAGGTACTAGATTGTTTTTAACTTTGTACATAAGTATGGCGATATTCTGCAAACTTCTGTTGTAAAGTAAAGTCTGATGAAAAGTTCACTATAGTAAGAATTGCAGACAGCAGACAGCTCTAAGACAGACACATAATTGATTGGCAGTTTATTGGGTTATCGGCTGAAAAATAATTCGTTTAAATAGTGTCGCTGTCCCGTTAGCTCCATTAGTATATTAGCGATCGGWCTATTGTGCGAGAGGTTTCGAGGTTTTGGGTCTTAAAATAAGTCGCTAGTGAGAAAAAGGTGTTGTGTCTTGTTAATTATTTCTACAATTGCTTAGTAACCTTCGCTTGGCTMGGATGACCACGTTAATGGCATTCCCATTCCTAACCAACTATAAACGTTCAAAAAGGACAACAAATTTATCAGGAAACGTTGACTTATGCAGACAAGTTACGGCCAGTGCCTGCCTGCCTTCCTCCCTCGGTTTTGACATTCTTGATAACTAACTGCTGTAATCGAAGGCTTTTAAGAGCTTTTCATATTTTCCTAAGGCTGTACTCTATTCATAAGAATGCTTAAGGGTTGCGGCTAAGTATTCAATTAAGGTCTCATATAGAAGCCGGTTTCAGTTGCGGTAAGCATACGATCCATTTCATAGGACTCGGTAAAAAGTGTTTTTAGTGCGGCTACTTTTTCAAAATAAGTCAACCTCAATTTGAAGATAAGCGTGCGGCAAGCGGTGAAAATCGTTTTGCTCTTCAAGAGGAAAAATTCATTAAGGGAGCCAATTTAATTTCAATACTCTTACCGCTATCTTAGAATATCGTAGTATAAATGGAAAAAGTATTTCTTATACAAAAGCCATAATGTGAGGCTGAAGAAAAAATAATATTTCAAATAATATAAATGATATTTCAACTAGTTATAATAATAGTCGTATGCTGAAATATTTCGTGACTAATTTCTCAATCTGTTCTTTTTAGCTTTATTAACTACAAAATTGACCCGAAARATAAACGATAAAAAAAAGAAAAAGGAAAGAAAAATTGAACGTGAGCTGGTTCTTTCCGACAAATAAAAAGGTTATATTGATGTTATGACAAAATGAAAAGCGGTAAATTAGGTTTGAAGTTCTCTACAATTTTAATTTCTACATACTTTGGTTATATCTTTCAATTATCAGATATGATCAATGCTCTTCAGTGTACTTGAAAACATACTTCTATGCCAATATATCATTGGTAAAATGCATTTTACTTGCCACAGGTTCTTCGTGATAAACCTATTGAACGGGTTATTTTGAAGATTGATTGCAAGGCTRCTCGTCAATCAGTTTGGACAAACTCACAGTGAACCAAGAGTTCTGTTTATAGTGTGACTTAAGTTCAAAGTTCCGCAGATGGTAAATAATTATTTGCTAATCATCCTGTCTTCTCGGCAAGAGAATCCAGATTTCTACTTGAAACTCGTAGCTTTAAATTTTCCAACATCTTRTCGTAGGTGGAATCCGAATATAAAAGCCAATCTTAAGTCGATTAAGTCGTGATTGATTACATTCCATCTATCGACCTGTTAWATGCTTTCGCACACAAATACGTTTTTTTTTATCATTGAATTCTTCTAATTAGATTTTTTCGGCTTTGCGTTCATTGATTAAGACACATTTTGTTTCAAGGGCTCTTTAATTGTTATTTATTCTATGAATAAAGGTTYTTTATCTCTCCAGTTTTCCATTTTTTTCATACTCTTCCTGAAATAAGAGAAAAAGAAAATATAAGCCGGCGCGCACCGCGCGCTCAAAATACGCATCCGTCAGTCTCTGTGAATGAATCTCTTACTAGTTTATAATGTTTGCCGCGCGCTTATCGATAAGAGTTGCTCTATAATTTTGGACTACAGCCCGCGCTCTGGCTTTGAATAYTTTTCTATCCCTACTCCTTAGCATACTAGCAATTTCTTTCTGAAGTTATATATGTTACCAACAAAAATTTGGGCATCTTAGGCCCCGTCCACATTATGCCGGATAAATTTGAATCCGCAACTTTCACACCGAAACCGAAAAAAAAGTTTTCCGTCCACACATGAAAACGGATAAAATGTTTCGCGTCCACACTTGTCCGATCAGAGGCGGCAAAGACGGTTCATTGCACATCTCAGCATGTGCATCGAAGCTAAAATTGAGCCCGCGCTGAATTTTTAGCCCTCCCRCCATGTTCCCATGACAATCATGACGTCATTGTATTCGAAAAAAATTCGGTTACGAAATGTTCTTTCCACTCTGGAAACCGTATTCGAAAAAAATCGTTTTCGGTRAAGAATTGTCCCGGATTCGCCCGGACTAGTGTGGACGGTATAAATAAAAAATTCGGATTCACATTTATCCGGCATAGTGTGGACGGGGCCTTAGTGGGTTTTCTTGTGGGAAATTCAAGGTCTTATTAATCTGTCCACCWCCCATGATATTTCGCACGATACTTATTCCGAAAGAAGGATTTTTTTTACAGTTTTTCTCGCCTTTACTCTACATTTTATAGCTTTTTAAAAAGAACAGCTCCGTTTTTGCGATTTTTCTCGTCCAACCGTTGTACCGTCAGTTTAGATCCAGGCCATTTTCGGCGGGATCGATGATGATTAGTGATGATCTCCATCATGAAATAAAAACTGCGTTGGGAAAGAACGTTATGTTTTAATGAATATATTCTTCCAGACCCCAACAACATTAGCATGGTTCAACGAGCTTCAGGTGGGGATTGAATATTAGCATGGATAGGTGAGGGATACAATCGGGAAGTTTGAAGTACATGTAGAGGGAAGTTGTCGAAAGTCGTTTGACTGAAAAATAAGCAACAACAACAACAAACAAGGCATGATTAATAAACGACGTTTGTATCCAAGCTAGGCCACAATTGCACATGCTCACTATATTTTCCTTTTATTTTATTTCATTTTTTAAACAAAAAGTTCTATGCAAGCACCATCCCGTATTTTTGGCTTGGGGATCCTTGCTCGTTAAAGGCGTTAAAATATACATTGTTTGTGAGTGGGTGTGTGGGTATGTGAGGGGTTAAATTGATATACTCGTTGTTGCTTCYTTTATGTTTTATGAATGTTAAGTACAACAGAGATATAGATAGCTATTCTAACTAAATACATGTTTTTACAGGACTYTTTGAAGTGAAATATCGATATGTAAATAAAGAAATTCACGAGGTTAAGATTTTGCAACGTRATGGTAGCACTTATAGTCAGAAGCCTCAAGCATCATGCATGACGTTTTGTACCTACACTTCCAAGATCCTTTTTTCTGTTATGCTTTTTTCTTTTACTATATTCTCTTGGTATTCAGAGGTAAAGGAGGTTTAACATTGGTATATGAAAAGAGATTTTGAAAAGAATTGTCGGTGGTAGTTTAGGGTATAAAACGTCATTCGGGTTAAGGTCTAGTGCTCTAAGTAGGAAAGGAAAAGAAACAAAATGAAAGCCTTTAAATCAAAGGAAGAGTGAAAGCAATAATAAAACAACTTAACAATTAAAATAAAGGAATAAAATAAAAACAACTTTTTTTCTTTCCTTKAAGGCATTATTTAAGTTAAAAGTGTTGAAGTGACTGCATGCCACTTTGTTACCCGCCCCCTCATTCAAGTCCMTATTCGTTCTATTTGATTAATCGATCTTAGTTTTTCCATTTCAACGARATATTACGTCCTCATCCTTTTAAGAGAAATTTTACTTTAAGTGTTTGGCTACTTTATTAGTCATTTGTAAGTTCACTCGTCATTGGCAATAATAGAACGACAGCTACAAGTTTATATTTAAGMCCTTGAATATACTTATTGTGATTGCTCTGGAATTCGAAAGAACCAGATGCCTTTCTTACGAATATCTGTTATTCTTGTCGARCGTTTGATTAAGATATTACTTAGCTGTAGTTGCCATCAGTCTGTCGTTAATTAAATGTTATCAACCCCTTGTCGATCTTCTCCGGCGTTATAGGATAAACATAAACAGTTCATGTTTTATCTCATGTTATGTACATTCCTTTTCTTTGTAGCTTTGATATTCTGTCAAATTAAGACAAGAAGGACTTAGTTCATAACATAGAAGGCCTCAGTCCCAAGTTTCACTAGTCCCTATGCCCACAGATGTCTACCGCAACAAAGCCGTCAATCTTTTCAGCAACATCATTTTTTTCCACCTGAGTTACTGGAGACGAAAGAATTTTATTGCGATGGATATCAATAAAAAAACATATAGGAAGTGGTATTGCATTGATTTGATTTGATCAGGCAAAGTGTATGAAATCAGACAATCTTTAACTTGCTATTGTGTGTTGGTACGTCATTAAATAGAGTTGTAACAGTTGTAACAAAAAAAACAAAAAAAAGCACTATACTAATGGCAAAATATTGGGGACATATTGGGGTGCAACAATATGACTAAAAATCTTGAGATGTAAATAACAATGGAACGGCYACCATTTTCGTTGATTTAAGAAGCTAATGAGGAACGTTTTGTTATGGTCAACCAAAAACATGGCGGCTATGATGTAGCTTGCTCTTCAAGAATAACGCTTTCCCACAATTTTCAYATTTTCAAAGTAAAATGACATATTTTGGACTTTTAGGGCCATTAAGATGTTTTTYCTTGATTTATCCGTAGTATAAATATGCTGATTTCATGCCACACCCATTATTATAAACTTAAACCCTTATTCATTATGTCTGTGCAGTGAGTACCTTAGTTTGAGCTAAGAGAAAATGCCTAAGTAGATTTTTAGCTATTTTTTTTTAGCTTAGTTTGAGCTGAGAAAAAATGCCTAAGCAGATGTTTAGCTATTTGATCGAACATTATCCAATGCACTAGTTTTGGTAAGCGATGAAACAATCTTCACTTTTTATTGTATAAAAGTATGAATGATTCCTTAAGGTCTTTCTGGGTTATTGATYAGTTATAGTAATAATATTTGTTAATGATCCAACAAACGCAATTCATGCACTTTTCRGTTTCGTGTCACATAAGAACGTGTACGCAGGAAGCCCAACGTAACTTTTTTCAGAAAAAAATTTTTAAAAAATATACAGGGGAAAATTAAGATACGGTTCTTTTAGCATTCATTTAGCCTTATGAAGTATATTATTCTTCATTCGAAAATTTGTTTTTAAAAGGGTCACAAAGTTTCAGGTTGGACTCCCTGTGGTATGGAAGAAGCTCATCAAAGATGGCGAGAATCACACAAGTGAAAGAGTCGAATCACTGAAGTCATTGCCAAAATGTCTGATCGATGGTTTCTTAAAATTTCAATGTACATGTTTGATTGTATTCTTAAACAAATATGGTATGACGTCATGGATTTGTGTTGATGTTTATTTCTTGTCGTCCTCCTTGACACATATCTCGTGAACTCCAAAAATGCTACGAAAAAATATATATATAAAAGAGAAATTAGAATTAATTTAATAAGAATGGGATACCGGAATTGTAGTTAGCAGAATTGTGAGGAATCGGTTATAAAACCTTTTTTAGATGATGACACTTGACTGTAAGTTCAACTGATCGTGTTCCTCTTTTAAAGTACATTGTTGATTAKAGGTACGGGACCACCATTAACGTGGTCATCAGAGCCACAGTCAAAATCTAACAGCTCGTAATTACAAACCCAGCTTCTTCTCTTCAGGTTGGCCGGGACCAACAATCGAGCTAACAGTGTGGCGGTATTGATATTTCATTACAATAAAGCAAGTTATGCGTGTTTGTCTTACCCGACTTGTTTACACATTAACCCTTCTTTGCATGGTCCACATGATTTTTGTACTTGTGCACCGACATACACATTCTTGAAAAAGTTTATTGGACCGCATACCATGTTCTCTTCCAAGGGTGGTTTACATACCGATATATGTGGATTGATAGCTGGTTCTCTGCGATGATTAGATAGA